TATTTGACCAGACGCTCTCGTAATCAGATAAGAGTCATTCTGTATTTATAAAAAAAAAAAAATCTGCTGCAAGTGTTCTTTAATTTTAAATTAGTTCCGAAAAAGTAAAAATTGTGGTAATAAACTGAAAGTTAAGCTTGTTTTATGTCATGATATATGTAGTTTTGTTTTACTTTCAATACGATTAAAACTTTTTTTATCTATAAATAATGTTTGTGCTTCAACGATATATTGATGAAACAATTAATTTTAACTATGTGATGCAAGTATAAATAAATCGGTAAACATATTTTAATTTAATTCAAAACACAGAATCCAAAACGAAAAGAAATGAACTTGTTAAACAGCTTAAGGCTTACATTTTTGTAGTACTCTTAAATATATTCACTGTCAGATATGACGAATTATATTATCGATATAGTCTGCATCTTGACTAATTGTCTGGTACATACATGGTAGTGGTTCTTATTACGAGAGTAAGCCGGAAATGTTATGACTTCTATAATGGCCGGAATTTTAAAGAAGGAATTTCATGGTGGTTGAACAATTCGTAAACTACATATTACTATTGATTTAATTGAGGAAGGAAATCCTAACAGATGTTTTATATGTTGCCTTGCGTGTTTACTCTTGCGGGTCGTTTGTGTCTAGTTTGGTTTCTTTTGTAAAGATTTAAGATGATCAATTACCGTTTGAATGTTTCCCGTATTCACTAAAGGTTTTTTTTTTTCATTTTATCCGATGCTGATATCATGTTTTTTGTTCTATTATTCTATTATATACAGCTGTCAAAGTGTTTAAGCTAAACTCAAACAAAATATACACATTTGATGGAAAATAATAAAGTTGTCATTTGTTTCTTTTTCAGTCTGGTTATCAAGATGGCAATCAACAAAAAAATAAATGTTTTTCTAACATCATTTTTCTTGTTTTACATCAATCATGGCGCCGTCCAAGCCACAACACCACCTACTGATGTGTGTAAGTAATGATAACTATTTGCATTAATCTGTTTATATAAGAAGAACATTGAGACAGTACATCACGAATAGTTAAAACTTACTCACTCTAAAAGTCATGTTTTTCTGAACAGTTGCAATGACATATACGATGAATGAATAAATCATTGTGATATATATAAAATAAAATTTGAAGTTTATTATTTTAATTGGCATTACAACTTTATCACCTGTGTCCTTTTAGTAACTGGTCTACTGTTAGTAGAATTATGGATGGTATACATATTGTTTTCTTATCATTAAAAGTATAGAGGAAAAAATTATGTTAAAATAATTGCCTACGTGCATAGCTTTATTGAGTCGAGAGCATATCAAGAACAGGTTTTGTACTATACTGTTAAAGAGGTAATGCGTATTTTTCCCTTTTAATTCTATCAATCAATTTAATAAGGATCACGTATGGAATACAAATCTGGAAAAAACATATACATACAAGGAAAGAACATATAAATTGAAAAAACAACAACGATATGGATTGGAAACATTATTTTCCTAACAGATACAGAAGTCATACACAATACTTGATGTAAACATATTGTTACATCAGCAATCTTCGAAATATCGCAAAACACAGCAACACTACACTATGCATGCTTTTGTCTTTGTATGGTGCATCCTTTTCATAGATACATTTTTTCATATTTGTTATCTGTTATTCGATTTTGAATTTCAAGAAATCAAAGGAATCAGGCGTTATTTTCTTCATACAACACTCCTTGTAAGATAGTGAATAATTAAGTGAGCAAGTACTATGTTTGGCATCACACTCAGAACACTCCGTGTGTATCTGAACACTCAAGGTTTATTGCAATTAAAACATTCATAAACGCTATGTGTGTACAAAAAAAAGACACATGTATATGATAGCTTGCAAGTTGTATGATTACAACATTTCGTCGTATGAAGCACGATTTTTCATCATTGACACTATGCTTTTTTAAGTCATTCCTTTTTTTATTGTCAGCATGCCCAGCCCCTGGAACAATAATTGTTAACGTCAGTGACGGAACTATAAACAGTGTTCTGGTGGAATGCGAATACAAAGGAAACCACACCGTGAGAACAATACCGAAAAATGGTACCATCGGCAGTATACGTGTTACTAACTGCACCATAGTAAGAGTTATTATCAATTAATCTGATTGCTTGCATTTCTACCAATAGCAGAAAAAATGTAATAACACTGTATCTTATATATTATCAATTAACAACTTGATCCATGGCTATTTTTTCTAAAATCATTCAAACATAATGTTACATATGTCTAAAACTTTCAACCTGGATGTAAATGTGTTGGTATCATTCATCGAATTGTAGTATTGAATCTTTATCCTAATTAACAGGTATTATTCGATAGTATTCGATAATAGCTTTGAAAGCTTTCACTTCCGTTGTAATTTATAGTGAAATATTTATCCTTTGTTTATATATCTTTTACAGAATAAACCGGTTAAACTTGTCCTTTTCAAAGACAACCATGCTTTGTCACTCGGAGCTGTTATAATGAGGAAAAAATCTCATATAGTGAAAGAGATCATCGTCGTTTGTAACGGATCACACATGACGGTCAATCAAAATTTTACCAAGTATGTGTACATTGCTATCAGTGTTAACTTTCGAAATGTCACTACACGAATATTACATAAGGTACACCAGCAATGTATGTAAATACATGCGTATATTATTAACGCATGACTGTCAGAGTGGTTTCTTAACATGTATTATACAAAACAATGAAAGAATTTATTAATCTTCGTACACATCAAGCAATACCATACACTGACAATATTTTAAAATGGAAAATAGTGAGTCAACATGGGAGGATTTATTTAAACGATATCAAAAACAAAAAAAATATCAAAAACGAAACGGAAAATAAATAAATAAAATGACGGGAACAGAACGCAAAGGAAAACACCTGCAAGTTGGGGGAAATATTTTGCACGCTGCATCACACTTGATATTATCTTCTGTTAACGAGACACTTAAGAAACTTGATTTGCAGCCACTTGAGATTTGTATTATTATTACTCATGCTTTTTATGTTAATATAATGTTATATTTAATTTATTTAACATTTCTCGCCGATGCCTCCTCATGCCCCGCCTTCATTTGACCTTATTGCTTTTGTTGACGTCAAATTTGAACCTTACAATCGAAATTATGTTATGTCTTGTAGTTTGACCTCTGAGAAAGAAATGCTTTTGATGTTTGCATTTACGGAACTTAAATAGTACTTATCAATCAATTATTGAAGCATTAAACTCCGTTTTGTTTTCATTCCTTCATAATCGCGGCCATGTCTTGTATACATCGTCCATTCACTTATTCAACGGATACTATAAGATGTGAATAATTTCGATGAACCCCCTAACATCAACAGTTGATTCTATGCTTATGTCTCGTATGTGCTCCATTCAATTACACAACACAATAGCAAACTCAATATTGCCTTGATCGTCGCATTATGATTTGATCTGTAATATGAATGGTTTCTCTATATTTTCTTGTTCCGTTCTCGCTCCAACGGCACATACAAACATTCCACTGCGTAATACATTGGTCATGAAAGTGACGGACCTTAAAGGAGAAGTCCTGACCGCTGCTGTTGATATAGCACACAATTATACGTTGAATATCACCGGCCCACGTAAGATTGTATTGTACATAAAAGAACCACTGAATACAATATTGTTATCATATATAATATTGTTCAGATATTATGATAATGAATGATAAAAGACGAATATATTTTAATTTGAAAATAAAGGGAGTTCAATGCATAAGACACATTATCTAATTTAGATTTGTCGGTTTATCTTTATCAGTTATGCTCAGAAACAGCAAGACTTTCTATATTTTAACGCTTTGTTCAAACATATGTAACGTAGGTTCACAATAATAACAATCCACGCCGTTGCAGTTCAATGATATGTTTATT